TGAGAATCAGTTCACTGCAAACAGACTTTGTACATCCAGGGATCTGTATATAGCCATTTGAATAAAATGTAAAACTTTGGTACTTAGCCATTTCTTGACAGCCTTTTATTTACCAGATATTTAAATGCCAAATTTTTTTTTATTGTTCTTATATCTCGCTTTTGGTGTAAAACCTGTTCGTGAAATGCAGATGTTTTGCATCTGAATCTTTCAGAAACATTTATGGAAATGTTATGTTTGAAAACAATGACCAATGCTAGTACTAACTTTTTTTCAGTGTTTTTGTAGATGTTTTTAATTCCTTTTTTTTTTTTTGGTATTAATTTAACTCATTTTATTGCCTGCGTTCAGGTCGGGGGTGTTTGTGCCCCTTCTCAGCTGTTGTACATGTGATAATTTTTTTTTAATTATTTTAGATTTGTTTTATATACACTATAGTGTGAAAATTCAAAGGCTGTTAGTCTTTTGACAGATTTTTTTTTTTTTTTTGTAAGAGTTTCTATTTCTTTTAGACTTTAAGCCGAATCTATTTATGTTTTGTAGAAGGATGTTCTGGATTAGTTAAGGGGAACGTGAATGAGCTGTGCATTACTTGCATGGTGTAAAATGATAAAAAAAAAAAGATAAATCTGCTGCTTTGTTTGGTCACATCCAGATGAAATCACTGATCTAATGTTGAAGTCAATGAATCATTGATTTTTGCATGCAGGTTCTGATTTGTTAAAAATAAAGCTATTTTATGCACATAACCATTTTGTCTTGAGCATTTTCTTCTATAGAAATCCTCAAATGTTGCATCACTATATTTCTTAAGACATGGTTAAGGATCATTGGACATTTAAGCTGTGATGCCAAGTAGTCCTTCCTCTTTAATGCACACCTGAATCAAGTCAAGAATTAGTTGCATGGTATAGAAAGGCACTGAAACTAGACACTAGATAGAAAAGGAGAGTGTATGAAATCAGAAATGCTTCAGTTTACACATGAGCCGAGTAGATGAGTTTGAAGCTGTGGTTTGGGTTCAGACATTGAGGATCAGTGAGACGCAAAGAAAAAAGGTAGATGTTTTGTTTGTCAAGAAAAAAAGGTCTGGTTTTTATTCATCTGTTATTTTGGATACTCCATGCACAATATTTTGGGATTAGTTCTGCAAAAGTGCTTTTGCTATGGTTCTTTAAAACTGAATATACTTGAGCCACCATTGTGGAAAGAAGAGTATCACGGTTTTCACCAAAATATTAAGCAGCACAACTGTTGATAATAAATAGCACTGACATAAGAAATGTCTCTTTAGTGACAAATCAGCGTATTAGAATGATTTCTGAAAGATCATGTGACCCTGACAACTGGAGTAATGATGCTGGAAATTCAGCTTTGCATCACAGGAATAAATTACATTTTAAAATATATTCAAATAGAAAATATTTTATTTAAATTGTAATATTATTTCACAATATTGCTATATTTTTTGTAGGTAAAAAATATCTATATTTTCAATATCTTTTTAACCCCGAATGAAACGTATAGCAACTCGAAGGTCCTTATACAGTGAAAATTATTCTTTATTTATAGGCTCTTGGTGAAGCTCAAGTGTGAAGAACCTGTATGTTTGAGTGTGTACTAAACGCAGGGCTTTGGTTTGGTGTGCATTTTGCTTGTACATGAACTTGTTTGTGATAGATAAACTTTGAATAACGGGTCTTTAATATGTAATCGAATTGCTTCAGTGTTAACCTGGGAATTTCCACCTCTAGAGAAATGACTGTAAGCAGCTGTGTGTGGGGTGTGTGTGTGTGTGTGTGTGTGTGTGTGTGTGTGTTTATCCAGCATGCTGATGCCTGTCTGCTTTGCTACCAAAACATATGAGCGTACCAAGAGAATAAAGACTCTTAGTTTTCTTTTAGGATTGAAGGATAAAAATAGAAAATGAGAAACATTGACAGGATTCTTTAACCTAGGCCCAGGCTTAATCATGTGGCAAAAGCTAATACAGTGGCTCCAAAAAGTATTCAACCACACTTCTTTTCATATGTGTGTTTGCACTTTTTTGAAAAAAAAAAGAGTTTACATAAAAATGAAATTCATACAGTTTTGAAACAAGTTGGTGGCGAGTAAATGACAGAATTGTCCTTTCATTTTAAAATAAATGCCATTTGATTTGATTTTGTTACACAATGATATTCATATATTTTTAAGCTTGGCGCAGAGGCTAATTATACAGTGGGTACGGAAAGTATTCAGACCCCCTTACATTTTTCACTCTTTGTTATATTGCAGCCATTTGCTAAAAAATTGTCCTTTCATTTTAAAATAAATGCCATTTGATTTGATTTTGTTACGCAATGATATTCATATATTTTTAAGCTTGGCGCAGAGGCTAATTATACAGTGGGTACGGAAAGTATTCAGACCCCTTTACATTTTTCACTCTTTGTTATATTGCAGCCATTTGCTAAAATCATT